AATGAACCAAAATCCACTGTGCATATATAATATATATGACAATTGTCCGGGTCAGATTTTACAGTAGAGAGGCTCTAATGACATTGCACCATTGCAACACCGTAACCTTTTCCCAGTTCTTTCGTTCCCGAGGAGCACAAGGTTTTGAGTCTGAATTAACCAATCGATTCACGCACATCGGAAAATTGGACTTAGTAGTAAGATTTTGCCAAACTATTATGTATTACTAAAATTATTATTTTAAGTGTGTCAGATAAAACGAACTGACGGTTGACTAGTACGCCTATTTCTTCCCAGTATATAGTGTTATTTTTAACCGCACGGGCTTCAAACGAAATAACGTTCAGCTTTATCGCTTAGTCGCGAATTTCCCTGAATAAACCAACCGTGTTGTGTACACCACCCACGGTTATCTCAGATCAAGTAATTTGTTCATGATTTAGGAGTCAGTCCATTGGGAAGAGGCTGAGGAAGGATACGAACCAATGAATTGGTTCATATGTTTGTGCGGTGATCGTGCGAAGAGCACGCACGTACCACGATACAGCTTCCAGGCAACCAATCAGGAGATAAAGTTCCCGACCAAGTAGAATCAATCGGAGTGACGGAATACGGGAAAACAACCAAACGGGTCATATTGTTGGGGAATTTGATATCGAAGTATGGTTCAATGAATAATATTTGTGATATTTATTTTCATGATTTTCTGAATAGAGTCAACTGTATCCACAGTTAGTCTTTGCCCTGTCTGACTGCGCTTTATGCTTTTGCCTCTTATGAATGATTTTAGTATGGAAGAAGCAGTGCGGCCATTGTAGAGAAAGAGCGCTTATAAGGAAAAGTACATATCAAAAATCGAATTGACCATATGAACAAAAAGTGTCGCATGGTTGTTTAATGACAGTTTGAACGAGAACCATGAGGCTGCATGGAACCATGGCCTCTGATATGGGAGGATGCATTGACCCGAAGTGTTACAGAGAAGGATTCTGAAGTAGTAAAATACAGAAATTTTCTTATCAAGGAACTGATTGGTGATCGTGCACACATTGCGATACAGCTAACATATAGCCCCCATGGGTAAACGAGGAGTCCAACTAATAGGACTATCCCAGGTGCTACATATACATTCGCCACCCGTTTTTTCTTGATTGTTTGATCATATGATGCAGTTGTCCCTGATCCATATCAATCNATGTTCTCGCTTACATTCATTGGATCGACAACACTGTTTTGTTGACCTCATTGTATTGTGTTCTCATTTTCAGTTTTGGGTTACAGGCCAATTACAATACTTCGCGTCAGCGTTTCAATCACAACTAGATTTTATCGTTTTAGCGTCAACTTTGTATATTATCAATGTGCCGTAAATGTAAACAAATCATTGACACCAGAATCATACTTTATTGTCAGTTGCAAAGCACGCCAAATAGTCGCTTTGAAATTGGACAACTGAAGTTTGCTCCAGTTTATCACTTGATGTCCTATGGCTTAAACTGTTAGCTTTCGTCGTCGAACTGCAGATCCTCGTAGTCTTGGTTTGTATTCTTTGTACTGTTCGTCCCATCATATTATGCTATACAGCTATTTTACGAGTACTCTGTGGTTTTCTCACTATATTGACTCCTTATTCACCGATAGATGTAGTTCTTGTTGTCACTAATCGCATGTTACCAGTCACAATATCCCGTTTTTAATCCCAGTTACCAGATTATCGGTATAAAACTGGGTCACGCATATGCCCAGCTTCCGTGTTATTGTGATTATCACTCTGCACACCGAAATTGCTTCAAATTAGCAATTCGTTGCATTACATATTTCCCCTACGGAATGTAAGTATTTATTGCTGCAGACAGACAGACAAACAGATAGAGAGGTATCTCTTCTGACAGTATTCAAACAAATAATCAACAAGTCTGATATATGAAGCAAGTTAAAACCANGAAGCAAGTTAAAACCAGCAAAAAAAATGAGGGGGAAATCATCGTGATCATTAAAGGTTGTGTTAACAACCAGTGCTCCAACACTCAACAATATCTCAAAGCTTATTCCATCCTGTCCAGAATTCACATTGCCACAGATCTAAGCCAACTCGATGATAATGTAACAATAAGGCTAATCATCAGGCAGTATGTCTTCACAAAATATATGTGAGTGTGTCTACCTTTGTTTACATGCCTCTACGAGTGAGTCTTTAGCTACGCATGGTTGTTAACCCGCACACCGTTCTCACCTGAATGGATTGATGTATTAATAGAGAGCTCTTTGTTGAACCTTCATAGGAGTTAGTAAAGCACTCAGTTGCAGATGACGTGGTTCTCTGGGATTGACCCAGAAACATCATTTACAAGTATCTTCACTGCACCTAAGAATCACACCAAAGAATTACGTAAGAAGATCCCAACAACTGCGGAATCGATAGCAATTAGGATCATGAAGCCGGAGTTGTGCGAGCAACGTAATCTGGTTCAGGCGCTGCTGTTACCATGACCATAAGAACAATTACCCATATATCTATGTGTCACCCTCCCCCCCCACACACACACACTTCATTTACTGTCTTTTTCGCGCACTTTAACACCTATTTTACTCATTCTTGACTAACACTTTCATATTGTTTCCAGTTCACACATCTCTCATCCGGCTTTTCCCTATACAATTATCATGATCCCATGGCTTGTTGTCATTCGAACATTTTGCACATAGACATCCATTCAACTTCAGCCAAGGTGTATTGATCTACTGACCAATCGAACTATATATGTAAATGCCTGAAGCGATACATCGAAAAGAAATTTCTTCGCTCTTTGACTTTGTTCTTAGGAATCAAAGGGAATATATTACGACTTATAATTTGTTCACCTCAAGTGACCTTGATATGTCTCTTATGTGTAATTCGTTCTCGTGGTTTGACTGTTGTATCTCAGTTTTGTCCTGATGACCTTTTCGTCATTTTAGCTTCTGTCCTAAACATCCCAACGATGGGTTCAATTCAAACTGAGGACCATTTATGTTGCCAAAAGGACTGGGAATATTCCACCGGATGAAACCCATCACTATTATTAAGCTTTTCAACAATCGAAGTAAATAAGCCTACTGGCTAACCATCGCAACTAACAATGAGCTATTACTGTGTATCTTCTCGCTCGGGTTAGCTGGTCTAGCACCAGGTCCCTTGTTGCGGCTGAACCATCCGACCGATTGATAAATGAACCCAATCGGTCGCGTGACTTTCGGGCCGGCACAGGAGGAGGATAGGTTCCGAATCCGACGCTACCTAAGTGTTGGTAGAGAATCACCTCAAGAGAATCAGTTGTGGAGCGGTGCTGTGGTGATCCAGGCCTATGTGATGACACCTACCCTTGAGCGGCACGTTACAGTTTCTGGAGGCATGCGATCAATCAAACTTGAAAGGTGATGTCAGTGACACGTGTACGGCTTCTGACTACACACCACAGGCAGGTTGTGTCAGCCAATCCGAGACAGTGCAGACAAAAGTAGAATTAAGCAAGCAATACTGCAATATGATTAGTAGAAGCCTAGATAATCAATGATCTTCTTTTGTACGTATTATTTAACCACCTTCATTTATTCCAATAAACGAACTACGAACTACCATTCTTGTGGCTTTTTCCTCGCGTCTCGCTCACGTGGGATATTGCGAGCTCGTGCCATTGCGGTTCAGTGCTTCCGTAATCCAGTCCGTGATAGTTAATCCTTGATTCTTGTCCTGTGATTCCTTTTGCGTGGTTTGTATTCCGTGCGTATTACTACTACTACTACTACTACTACTACGACCAATACAGGTGCGTCATGTGAAAAATTCGGAATGGAAAATGCTCAATGAATGCTGTGTAACTAGGTATAGCTCTCCATAGGGGCAAACGAATTGTTGGGATGGTGAGATGTTTCACTGATGATTTGCGTTTCTTTGATCTGCTCTTTTAGGCAGCTCTAGTGTAGTGAGAAGCATGGAATCGGAATCCCCGAGACGTTTACAAGTACTCACACACACACAGAGCGGAAACCTACTGAGGTGAATCTCTGTCCGCATACTGGAACGGCTTTGGGTCACTATGGCAACCAATAAACAAAGTGAGTCGACTAAGGCACCTGGATGGATGAAATGCTCATCGAATTCCATTCACGTTCGACCAAAAACCCCACGATCACAAGACTTCAGTAGCATCAACGGTTCTGAGTCATATCCTCAATCCCAAAGCGAGGGTTATAACTTAAAGCTTATGTACTCGTGAGTACTTTTTAGTATGTCGTGCAAGAACTGACTCATCCAATCTTGGGATTATATTGGGACCCATTCACTTCCCTCTCCGGCATTCTCTCACGCAAAACTGCATTTTACTTGCCCCTATAAAACATTGGGAGGTGGTGACCCGGTGGTAACGTCACCAATTATCACCTCGTAGGACGTGTGTTCGAATCCCACCACCACCGCCTCTCTTTCCCCATGTGTGTTGTATGGCAGCCCTTTGATTGGCCGCTTCCTCCTTCCTGAAAATTGTACCATTCTGCATTCGATAAAAGGAAGTAAAATAAAAATGAATGAAATGAATCGTGCGAAGTTTATTCTTTTGACTAGTTGCTAGGTCGCTTTGGGCTATTGTCGTTTTTTTAAATCCAGTTCGTCTTGAAATTGGGGAAACCAAGGTGCAGGTGCACAATCCTTGGACATGCTCACTTAAAGCTGTTTGACTACACACTAAGACACACACATAGGTGAGCAGTGAGGTAAAACCACGTTTAAAGACCAAAATACATGTTCCCGGTACTCTGTTCTGTCGCCATTCTATTCGTGGCTGCTATTTGACTTGAATTGCAACACTTTGATATTGGAGCTTTCTTTACGCCTTCATAATAACGCCTAATTGTATTCAACTTCCGCCCCTATCGGAACAGCGAAACAAGGGTGATTCTCCACACCATCGCCACATATCCACATTTGTAAATGAAACAACCAGGTGAAGCAACATCACCGTGAACTACCGACTGTATTGGGTAGCGGTGTTCTTGTTGGTGGTGGTGGTCGGTGGTGGTGGACGCTGAGGAGGAGGAGGAGGAGGAGGAAGAGGAGTTACACGAGAAGAAACCTAATCACAAGCTTCTGAAAAAATAAGAAAATAAACCTTATCGGGTGGGACCATGTGAAGAAAGAAGATTGGCGGTGAGCTCCTATCGTGATTGAAACCCCAGTTGACGTGCAGGAGGTGAGAATTCGTCCACATTTGTCACCCCGCAGCACACTAGAGTCCACGCATATTGCCGTGCTAATGACGCCTTATTGTCTCTGTATTCTTCTCATGGTTTCTTTCTGAGTTAATGAGTCGTATTCGAAAATGCAACGAATGTTCTCAAATAAATCTCAAATGGAGGCTCACATGTCTACTGAGCTATCCATTTATTATTACAACTGAGGCAAAACCAAACCCATTTAATTATGACAACTGTTTCACTCGATTGGTGGATCGATTGCTCGCCTGCTCCCTTTCACTCTCAGCCTAATTACTGCATGAACACAAACGTCCAGGTCGATTGTAGCCTCGGCTGGATTCAACGTGTNGTGTATTGCATACCGTCGAGTATAAACCTGATTCCTGGTACCAAACCGATCAATACGAACAAGAATTATTGGAAGAGAAACTATGCTTTTATTGGAAGCTAGAAACTCATAAATTTTAAAATCTTTCATTTTTTTATTTCTGTAACTTCTCCGTGAAAAAAATGAAACTCATTTCTATCGTGCACTCTAACACATCTTCCGCAGAGCCTGGCGGTAATGTATGCACAATATGAGGATTCACCAGGGATTTTCGACATCATCCGAACTTGGAGGAAACGTAGAAGAAACTTCAAAATCTAAACTTTCTTGCTCCCACTCTGTCTTCATTTATTTAAGTCGTTTCAAGGAGTCCCATAACTTTTATACCTAAAGCTTTATTCATGTCTCAAGTCAGCTAATCTTAGCAAAAGTCATTCACGTCTTTTATGGGTGCGCTCCGTCACTCAGCACAAATCTAAGCCGATTATGCTGAAATAGTAATTGTTAGTTACCTTGTTCTGGTGATCTGACTCTCCGAGATAATGCCAGTTGACTTTCAGAGTTTCAGTTTAGACAACCAGTAAGCATGCATTTCGGTGCGATGCTCCTGGTTGTTGTATTTTGGCTGCCCATTAGGGTGAACAATATGAGGAAAGCAAGATGGCTGAAAGTAGGATCGAAGAGAAAATTGAGAATTTCAGTGAACTAATGTTGCAAAGAAATTGACAAGATGCACGAACGCCACTGTTTACAACTCCCAACCATATCACTCACTGTCTCTAACCATTGATTACGCTGATCCCGAGGTCCCCATACAGGGAGCCTAACAGGATCTATGTGACCCAGTAAAGTGGTTAGGGTTTTCATACTCTCATGCCAGGTCTTCACTTCACCACCCTTGGCTTTATTCCACCCACTACTTGCCTCGGCAAACATCGCTAGCTGTGGCAACCTATTTGGTGACATGCGTAACACATGCCCCAACCAATGTAATCCATGGAAGTCGACCACTTGCTCCACTGAGCGACCGCGGATACCCAAAACTCTGCCCCTGACCTCAGCATTGCTCATCCGGCTAACCCGCCAGATTCGTGCAATGCTGCGTAGACAGCGGTGTTCAAACACCGGCAATCTATCTTTATCCTGTTTTCTTAATGGCCAAGTATCTCCGCCGAATAGCAGAACAGGCCAAACTACCGCAGCATATACTTGACCCGTCACAGACAGCTGGATGTCACGACGGCACCACAGATGTCTCAAGTTGGCAAATGCCAACCGAGCCTTCTGTATGCGAACAGACACTTCATCCGTGATACGTCCACGGGGTAAGATGTAGCTGTCCAAGTAACAAAACTTATCCATTCACTCTATTACTTCCCCAATTAGAGTGAGGCATGGTGCTGCACCCACCCAATCTTGTAGTAGCATTTTACACTTTGAAGGTGCAAAACGCATACCGAACATGGCAACACCAACACTCAAACTTTCCAGAAAAGCGTGTAACCTACCTGGATCTTCACTTAGTAGCACAATGTCGTCTAGATCAGACAGTCTGCCACCTGGGAGTAAATCGATGCCACTATCCTCGCACGAGGATATGGCTGTTTCGAGAATCAAATCCATCGTGAAGTTAAACAGAAAAGAAGAGAAAAGGCGACCTTGATGAACACCACTTTCGTTGGTTAACTCGGGTGAAAACGTGCCGTAAACTCGGACTCGGCTTCGGCTATGAGTATAGAAGGATCCAAGACTAAACCTCCATCCTTAAAACGGATGGGGACAGCCCGTCTGGCCCGGAGGTCTTATGCCTTACTTCCCGGGAAACCTCCATTTCAGATGGAGGACTGGTATCAACTGGGAGTGCTTGCGCAGTTGCCGTGGAGGGTGGTAGTTCAAATGTCGATGGGGTCCAGTCGTACTGAGCTTCCAAATG